TCCGATGGAGAGTATAGAGCTCGTCCAGTGTTCCGCGGCCGGGACGAAAACCACACTGCTCCTCCTGAATCCGAGATTTGACTATTGGCTGTAGCCTCCTCTCCAGTACCTTGGAGTAAACCTTACCAGGGATCCTGAGGAGTGTGATCCCACGATAATTGGAACACACCCTCCGGTCCCCCTTCTTATAGAGAGGGACCACCACCCCAGTCTGCCTCTCCATCGGCACCGCCCCCGATCGCCACGCGATGTTGCAGAGACGTGTCAGCCAAGACAGTCCCACAACATCCAGAGACTTTAGATAGTCAGGACGGATCTCATCCACTCCCGGCGCCTTGCCACCAAGGAGGCTGCCAACCACCTTGGTGACCTCCGCCAGGGAGATGGAAGTATCCGCCCCAACATCTTCAGCCTCTGCCTCCTGGACGGAGGACGTGACGGGGGGGTTGAGGACGTGACACTTTAAACTAAACTAATAAAAATGATTCTGAATTATTATGAAACTCACCACAACACAGCGGAAGAAACCATACCATCCAGTTGGCTTCTTGATGGATTGATGGACTGTCTCTCCTCCGACTGCCTCTCCCTCGCAGGTTTGCAAATAAGCTGCATTATAAACTCCTGTTCCTCCTTCGGCCATCTCAGGGTTAGCTTCCTTGTTCAACATGATATTTTGTCATTACACAGTTCTAAGTCATCTGAAATGAAAATGATGCTGAAAATTATACTCACCGCAAGGCTTTAACGTTTTGACAGCTCGGGTGTTCAAAAAAATCCGAGGTCTGAGTTTGTGCGTTTGCCGGAAATGCACGTACGTGCCTCCCTGTTCGGAAAAGGCGACGACCATTTGGGAGATAAGGGATAATGTATATTACGCGAGTCATTATCGGGTCTGCTTCCGCCCTGAAGGTACTTATTTTCCGATAATGATCTGCGTAATATACATTATCCCGCTTATTATACAGCTTTATACCAACAGAACACAAAAAATAAACTTCAGTCCACTCTTAGGAATGCCAAAAGGTTTATTCAATGAAAAAAAAAAAAAAAGTTCCCAAAGGCTTTTCCGTGGCTATGCGAGTAACAGTTAGGCTAGCAACTTCCAAACTAGAACTGTCTCGAACTGCATGAAAACTGAGCAAAGAATTCTGAACATCAGCGGTGAGTGACCCATACATAAACCTAACCTAAATCCATAATTCGATCCTCTGCAAATGTGTCCGAAAATGTCCCAGAATCTACTTCCAGGTTTTTCGCAAACGTTTTTTCTCGCATTAAAACAAAAAGTATTTTTATCATTAAAACCTTAACAGAAAATTCTGAAAACTTCTGTGCATGTGTATTAAGAATGTATTATAATGTATTCTCCGATTAAAATTTAAATGTGTTGATTGATTGGTATTTGCGTTTATTGAGCGAGGCTAGCTCCCGAGTGGCCGGAACTACTTACAGAGTAATCTACACATCTGAACTGCAAGCAGGGGTTGCCTTGCAATGGGCAGCAGTCATTATTGTTTTGAGAGGTCCGTTATCAAGAAATAATGATTGGTAGAACGTTTTGAAATTAGGCAAGGCAAGTTTATTTATATAGCACAATTCATACACAAGGCAATTCAAAGTGCTGAACAAAACAAGAAAGCATTAAAATCATAAATAATCACAGAACATTAAAAAGAAAGATAAAAATATAAAATCCCTCAGTTGTATGCACAGTTAAACAGAACTGTCTTTAACCTGGTTTTAAACATTGTCAGAGAGGAGGCCTGTCTCACATCTTCAGGAAGACTGTTCCAGATTTTAGCAGCATGAATCTGAAAACCAGTCCCTGTGCTCCTCAGAGTCCGGGCTGGTTCATATGGGACTAAGTCTGAGTCCAGTATTACCCCTAGATTTCTGACCTTGTTTGAAGGTTTTAGGGAGAGAGACTGTAGGTGACAGATGACGCTCTCTCTTTGTTTCTGTGGACCAAAGACAATCATTTCGGTTTTGTCTGCGTTTAGCTGAAGGAAGTTGTTTTGCATCCACTCACTGATCTGTTGGATACAGTGAAGGAGTGAGTCCACTGGTCCATGTTCTCCTGCAGTCAGTGAGACATAGATCTGAGTGTCGTCTGCATAGTTGTGATAGGACACTTTGTTTCTGCGTATTAACTGACCTAACGGCAGCATGTAGAGATTGAACAGAAGAGGTCCCAGGATCAACCCCTGTGGTACTCCACAGGTCAGGGCCATATGATCTGAGACACAGTTTCCAATCTCCACAAAGTACTTCCTGTCTTCAAGGTAAGACCTAAACCAACTTAGGGCGGTGCTAGCGACTCCAACCCAGTCCTCTAATCTCTGTAAGAGGATCTCATGGTCAACAGTGTCAAAGGCAGCACTTAGATCTAACAAGATTAAGATTGAGACTTTGCCTGCGTCAGTGTTCAGCCGGATATCGTTTGTAACCTTAACGAGAGCAGTCTCAGTGCTGTGGTGGGGTCTAAAGCCGGACTGAAACATATCAAATGAGTTGTTGATTATAAGAAATCTAGTAAGCTGTAGGTAGGCAACTTTCTCAAGGACTTTCCGCATAAATGGCAGATTTGAGATGGGACGATAGTTGTTAAGTACCGTAGCATCGAGACTGCTCTTTTTTAGCAGGGGCCTGATGACTGCAGTTTTCAGGGCCTTTGGGAATATTCCAGAATGAAGGGACATGTTTACATAAGTACAAACAAAATATCGGAAATCTGGTCCACAAGATCACGTCCACACATTTTCTGTGTCCAACTTCATGTTTACAGATGTCCCCCTATCAGTAAATGCACGTTATCACATTTAGGCCTAATACAAATTACTTTACTACAAAGTGATGCTCAAACGAGGGCCAGAGAAAATATATCAATCGTATTAAACACATGCATTATTTACATGATATATCACATTTTAAATCTAATTACTCTAAATACAATTGTTATACTCCCTCCTGGACTGCTACCTTGACGTGGTGGGGGAGTTTGAGTACTCGGATGATCCTGGGAGCTATGCTGTCTGGGGCTTCATGCTCCTGGTAGGGCCTCCCATGGCAGACCGGTCTCGGGTGACGAGTCAGACGAAGAGCAGTCTGAAGACACCATGGTTTCTCGCAGGGAGAGGCGGCGAGCGGGGGTGGCCATACTCATTGCCCCCTTTGTTGTCGTATCATCTGACCTTCGACCGCGTGTCTCTAACACTCGGGTGAAGAGAGGGGCGGAGCTGTCAACCGATCACCAGTTGTGCTTTGCCAACACTGTGTATGGTGCGGGTGGATAGCTGCTGACCTCGACTGGGGATATTGTCGGGCGGTGGAAGGAATACTTCGAGGATCTCCAACCCCCCGTCACGTCCTCCGCCCCGGAGGCAGAGGCTGAGGATGTTGGGGCGGATACTTCCATCTACCTGGCAGCGGTCACCAAGGTGGTTGGCAGCCTCCTTGGTGGCAAGGCGCCGGGAGTGAATGAGATCCGTCCTGACTATCTAAATTCTCTGGATGTTGTGGGACTGTCTTGGCTGACACGTCTCTGCAACATGGTCTGGAGACCCTGGGGGGGCGCCCAAAATCCTGCGCATACTGGGGAGGCCGCCGGGCAGAAGGTAGAAACCTCATATGGACAGGCGGCGGTGACGCTTGGTGGCCGCAACCCCCTTAGAAAGGGCTGCGGTACACCAAACACCCGAGGAGTAGCAGCAGGAGGGGAAACCAGTCGAGAGGCCCGCCTGTGTAGACCAACTAACTGGTCCCGAGTTCGGGTGGCCTGCGCCGAGCGCATCCGCCCCAAAGAGCTACCCCGGGACCACCGGAACACTCCTGAGAGTCCTCCTACAAGGCTCAGTGAGGGAGACCAACCACACCTGCCGAGGTGTCTGCGTGAGGGTCGACAGCAGACGGCCCAGTTCCTGCAACATAAGGGCGAAAGCGTGGAGGGACATATCCAACAATCCGGGGCATCAATCGCAGAGACTTCCAATGCAGTAGAAAGGCCCAGTAACATATGGGAAAGAGAGTTCCCCATACGCCCCATTCGTGCACCAGTATCATACACGCTACACAACAGCTCACCCGTGAGCCGCCACTGGGAGCTAGAGCACCTTGGATTAGAAATGAGGGCCTCCTCCAGCGAAATTAGGCCACAGCCGGCTCGACCGGTGGCATGTGGCCCAAGCTGAATTGGGGGGCATCCTGCATGGAAGCCAAAGCCCGGCCATCGGACGTCAATTTGGACAGAGCCTTCATATCCGTCCACCATGTATGTAGCTCTCTCACATACTCCTTTGAAGAAGGGATGGAGATAGAGGGAAGGGGTTGCTGTTGCGTAAAGAAAGTGCTACCAGATAGCACAGTCCCCTACGGGACATCCAACCCCAAGTGGGCAGAGGGGATCTGATAGTGGAATTGTTTAGGTTATCATTTAAATGAATGTGAATTTAATCAATCTAGACAACCTTTGGGTTGACCTACATTGGAGTGTGGAAATCTACAATTGAGGAGTTGAAACCAAGCTAATAATTATCCACATTGTCCACAATTGGGGTGTTTTGTGAAAACAATGTTTTTTGTCCAACAAGTGGTTAATGTGTAACTTCACCTATTTTGGGGCTTTTCCGTTGCGAGGGTGTGGTTTATCTGTTCTGAAATAAATAAGCTGCCTGCAGAGCATCAAGCAGGACTTGGCTTTTGGCTGTGTAAGGAGCACAGGCCTCCTTGGCAGCTGCAAAGACATCCCCTCCTTGTTACATGCAAGTAAAAAACTAACCCTTGTCTGTTGTGTGCTTCTGTCTAGATAACTGTAGTTATCCTGTTTCACAGGATCCCACTCTCCTCGCTGTCCAGGCACCCTGTGGAAGCCAATGAACCAGCTTCAGAGGCCCTGGAGTCAAACTCCTCTGAGTCTAGCTGAAAATGTGTGTCCGACGCAGCCACATAAATGACATCGTCCTCACACACAGGGGCCATGTCGGCACAGGAGGGCCCATCAGATGTTCCCAAGAAAACAGAAGCGTCTTCATTTGGGCCATCTCGGACGCAAGATGGTCCATACGCGCAGACAACCCTACAGGTACAGCCGAGCGCTCCACCATCAGGCCCTGTCCACCATCAGGCCCTGTCTCAAATGCCCAATACCCAGGCACGCAGGGCAGAGGTCACGGCCGTCATCACCCTGCATCGGTGCCATGTACCCACGGCAGCACAGCGACTCGAGCATAATGAAACAAGTGCCCGAAATCGGCGGAGCCGGGTCGGGCCAAAAATGCCACAAACGACAAAACCAAGGCAGTAACAGAACAGCGAAAGATCAGGTCGAGCGTGCATGCCACCAGTGATACAAACGGCCCCGACGTAAATCAAATATAACTGAACCGTGAGGGGACAGTACAACTGTCGATAGAAAATGCAAACGCCAGCCTAGTCTGAAAACAGAAGACTTGACAAAAACTGCACACACCCGCACACACAACGTGAGACAATTAAAGAGCCAGGTGGGGCAGAGGATGCCACACACTACTCTAAACCACGGTGTGTAACACCGCACATGCAACAAAACAAACAGAGAGACAAACTGAACAAAGAGCGAAGAGTACCACTGTTGATAAGCAAAAGTTAGCTCACTCCGAAAACAGAAAAGCTTAACAAACAATAGTCACACGTGCATAAAGTGGAACACAACTCTCCGGTGAGCCGGTGAAGCTTGCACATCCCCTGATGGGCGAGACTCACCTTCCCGTTGCCTCAACAGAAGTCACGGATCTGGTGGGCAAGCTAAACGCCCACTCTATGACAGACGGCGGAAGTCTATCTGTGAGCCTTCGGAAACTTGACCAAAACAACCTGTTTCACCGAATGACAGCCAAAACTGTGATATTTTGCAGTGTGGCCATTCTGTTCTCTTAGATGTCCTAAATTGATATTAAAATGTCCGCACATAATTTGTCTCTTGTTTTTACTATTTTTTTTTTCAATTGTACTTGTACACTTCACACTGGTCTACAAATGTAACTGATCAATATATTTTTTCCTGATGAAGATACAATTTCCAATGTTATCATTTCAATTTGATCTTCTATTATGGTAATTTATTTAACTGTAAGACAAACTTTCTTTGTCTTACAGTTTAAATTAAATTTAGAAACAATGCAACTACTCCTTCTCCCTTTAACTTCCTACTTAAGGCATCAAGTTTGTACCCTTCAATCTGAACCTGGGCCATAATTCCATCTTTAAACCAGGTTTCGGTTACTGAAATGATAATTAATTTCTTTTTAAACTCACTAAGATATTCCTTGATTATAGAAAGTTTATATGAATAATGGATAAAGTAATAACGGCTTATTAAACGAGCGCGAGGTCTATACAGAGAAATATCCGACCGCGGCCTTAATGTACAGACCGAGCCGTGGCGAGGTCTGTGGAAAAAGGCAAACGAGGTCAATAAATGTTTTATTATATGACTATTTTTAATTTATGCCAATATCAATCTCCGACTTGGTTTTCCTAATCGTGTTTTTAGCTTTCTGATCTGTAACCAAGTTGTCAATCTCTTCTTGACTCTTAGGAGTTCTGTTTTCGTCGTTATTTGCTGTTATTACTTCCTCTGGCTCTTCAAACTCGTCCGGATAATAGAATTCACAGGAGAATGCTCCCAGTCGTAGCCCATTATTTCTTTTTTAACTGAGGAAAGATATCAACTGTGATATGCGCTGCGGACCAATTGTCATGGTAACGGTCCGAGGAAAGATATCAAATGTGATACGCGCTGTTCGGACTAGGGCTGGGATTAACGGCTTATTAACCAAGCGCGAGGTCTGTATGGAGAAATATCAGACATCATTTTGTACATCAGCCTTGATGTACAAAACTGCGCAAAAAATGCCAAGGTCTGATATTTCTCCATACAGACCGAGCAAGCGAGGTTAATAAATGTTTTATTATATGACTCTCGTCTGTGTCTTTACCAATGCTTTTGAGATATTTGTGAAGTATGTTCATGTCCGACTTGGGTTTGTGTGATACGGGCTGTGGACTGATTGTCATGGTAACGGTCCGTGAAAAGATATCAAATGTGATACGCGCTGTTCGGACCAATTGTAATGGTAACGGTTCGAGATGGGAAAATATCAGACCGCAAATCAACCAATCAGAGCGCGCGCACGGTCCAAGTCATATAATAAAAACGATTATTTTTTAAACAATTAATCTAGCGATAATTTTTTCAATGCATCGATTAATCTAACGATTAATTTTTTCAGTTAGATTAGATTTCGATTTGATTCGATCATCAATTATCTCCCCATTAATTGACTAATATAAATGTATACATGTTGATTTACATATCTGAATGAAAAAACATGATTTCCTTAACAAAATATATTTATTTCTCTTAAAATTCAAAACTCTCTGACAAAAGACATCCTTAGTCAGAGGTAGCATAAAACCTTGAAGCCTTGAAAACACATCTAGCTTACTGAAAAAAATTAATCTTATTATTATTATTTCAGATGAAAATAACACTTGATGTTTAGCATTCAATAAAATTAAAAATAAAACCAATGTAATCTTGAGGGCTTTAAGCTAAAGAAAGAGTGCTTTTCTAGCAAAAAATAATGAAAATAAAAATTTTGAATTCAACAGTTATGTTGAACATAGGCCTAGCTGACTTAAAAAATCATCTTCATTCACAAATAACAAATAACAAGTTTGACTCGGACACTTTCCTTTCCCCTTAAGAACATGGGCCTCATTCACGAATAACTTCGTAAGAAACTTCTTAAATTTCTTCTCAAGTCGTTCTTAAGTAGATTTCTAGGAAGACCCTACGTGGGATTCATCAACATGTTCCACTGAATGTTCCGCTGAATTGTTTGCAGCTGTTCTCTTAGATTGATGAATGCCATTTCCTCGTAAGTAGAGCGCGCGTGCCAGGTGATTTGTTAGCATAGGTACTTAGCATAGGTAACCGCCCATTAATGCCCATAAAAGGGACTGCAGGGCCGTGTGCAGACGCCAGAGGAAACAGCAACATGCCCAAAGCAAAGAGTTACACGGAGCAAAAAAGTCTGCCTTTTTCCTTCTTTTGCCAGACTGAGAATAAAGTTATAAAATGTTGATTTAAAAGTCGAAATATTATGAGAATAAAGTCAAACTAGCAAAATTATGAGATTAATCTAAAAGTATGATGAGATTAATCTCAAAATGTTATGAGCTAAATTTAAAAATATATTATGTATTATTTAAAAAATGAATCTCAAAATGTTTTGGACCCTGGGAGGAGATCCAGCGCGGACCAGCGCTGAGACTAATGCCGTTTTTCCACAGTGTCATTACAGTTCGGTGCGACTCTACTCGGCGCGCAAAAGCCGAGTTCGCTTGGTTTTCCATTGAAATAGCACCTCCTGGAATGTGGGCAGGCTTCGTCATACCACGGAAGTAGTGGTCATACCACAGTGTAGTGACGTCATTTGCGCGCGACGCACACACACAAAAAGCAGGAAGAACAGCATACACCATCACAAACAATGGAGACCACCGGGACGTACCTTCTGTTCTTTCTGTGGCTTGTACTTATACACAAGATCAAGAGCCAGAGAAGAATCCAGGCGGCAAGACGCAATAGAATTGCGAAGTACAGGAAGCTTTTCGAAGCCGTGCAGCAGGACGATGGAGCCGAGGATGGTACAAACAGTCTGTGCGCAAAACGAGCTGCAAAAAGACGTCTGCGGGTAAGTTACTTTTGCTTTGTAGCTATGTAATGTACTGTAGCTTGGTAGCAGTCGTCGTGCACAGTAATGGCTGCTGGTTTTCACTATTAAGCATTAAACTGTATGCTGTATGTGTTTTTCAGATAGCTCTCGTCTTGCGTAGCCGCCGTAAGCCATCGGTCTGGGCATTCAACCGAGCCTCCGAGTGGTGGGACATTGTAGTCCCCAAATTCAGCAACGCGCAGTGGGTGCAGAATTTCCGAATATCAGAAGAAACGTTGGATTTCCCGCGCCTGAAGCTGCGGCCGATTATGGAGCGACGAGACACTAGTTTCCGTGACTGTGTGCCCCTGAAGAAGAGGGTGGCTATCGCACTCTGGAAGCTTGCTACTGGCTCCGAGTACAGAAGCATTGGTCACCTTTTTGGAGTCATCATAACAACGGTGTGCCGATATGTGCAGGACTTTTGTGCTGCAGCAAAGACGGTATTGGTCCCAGAGCTGATCCGGTGTCCTAACGAGGAGAAATTCAGAGAGATAGCTGCCTACAATGAGAACAGATGGGGGGTCCCACACTGTGTTGGTGCTATTGATGGATCACACATACCAATCATAGCACCACGGGAGTACCATTGTGACTACTTCAATCGTAAAGGGTGGCATTCTATAATACTCCAAGGTGTGGTTGATGGAAAGGGGTTGTTCTGGAATGTGTTTGCCGGTTTGCCAGGGAGTTTACATGACGCCAGGGTCTTAAGACTCTCTAGCCTGTGGGAGTTAGCCAGCCGGGAAAACCTCTTCCCAGCTCACACAAGAGACGTTGGTGGGGTGACTGCTGGCTATTACCTTCTAGGGGACTCTGCTTACCCCCTGCAGAACTGGCTACTAAAACCTTTTCAGGACACCGGGCGACTGACAGTCGAACAGCAAGTATTTAACAGAAGATTCAGCAGAGCGCGAGTGGTTGTTGAAAACGCTTTTGGCAGGCTCAAAGGAAGATGGCGCTCTCATCTGAAAAGGTATGACTCGGACATTGAGCTGGTTAAGTCAATGGTGCTGACTTGCTGTGCTCTGGACAATCTGTGCGAAACTCATGGAGAGACCTACGTGACGGAATGGGACACACGTGTAGCAACAGTTGAGCCTGTGGTAGCAGTGGCACAGGATGCAGAGGGAGAGGGCGGAGATGTTAGGGACGGTCTGATGCGTCACTTTATGTCCAATGCCTAAACATTTAATGTTTAATTTGCGTCTTCTGTTGTGTTTTTAAACCAAAAATAAAAGCTTGTTTTATTTTACTTGTCTCTACTTCTGTTCCAAAAATCACCACGGTTATAGGGATTTACTGACAAAAGTAAAATGTAAAATAGAGCTGGCTTCATACAACCTGTTCCAAACACCCCTCAACTTAAGGTTCATCACAACACACATGTCATCACAAACGTTAAGGGTATAAATGGAAAATGTATGTTATATATTGCTTTTAGGTTGACATAACTTTTAAGTCGTGTTCGTTTTGTGTTGCTAATGTTTCATGGCACATAATGTTCCTATGTAGCTTGGTAGCAGTCGTCGTGCACAATAATAGCTGGTGGCTATCACTATAAAGTCTTAAAATGTGATGTACAG